TCTCCCCTCTCACACCCACCTGATGCTCTGCTTCTCACAGCGTACACCCAGGTGACCCTGGAAACTCATGACACTGCTGCTCCAGCTGGCTTGGATAGCGCATATTTAAAAGGCTCCAAACAGTCAAGCTCCTACCTGCCTCTTGTCAGACTTATCAAACTTGATATCTGAACTCATGAAACTCCTCAGAGCAACCTGGGAAGGTTAGAAGACAAATGAAAATAGCCTTTTAGAGAAGCACTAAGTCGTTTGTTTGATTAAGTCCATCCACAGAAAAAGAGTCAACAATACTAAACACTAAACTCTGCCAATTAATATTTTTGTAAAAAATACATTACTTGTGTAATGTGAAGGACTTTGTTAGGAAGAAACCCACAGACAATTGCCGCCCAACTCTGCAGGTTGCCTCTGGTTTTTTTTTTTTAGCATCTTTCAGCCCACTGTTGTTGCTTTACAGCCCACAACTTTACTGTTTTGGCTCTCATCGGCAGGCAGATGTTTCCAACAAAAAGAAAGAAGAAATAAAAAAGCACAGATAAAGCCAATCTATACTTCCTGCCTAGCAACACGAAAAAAGTTAGTTACTAGCTGATGAATGGAGCATTTATCAGATAAAGAGTCACACAAATGTTGAAGACCAAAAAAAAAGAAGAAGAGCTAAACGGGTTTAACATACCCAAGATATGTTTTCATTATCTGGCTTCACTAAGCCTGACAACTGCATTGACACAAGGCAGTTACACAAAGCTGGTTATCAAGTTGTCTAGTTTGCCTAAACCGAGTCAGCTTTACATATGACCAACACTTCTCTCCACCTGTACACCAAACATGTAGAGGTCTAGAGCTGCATATTTGTCACAAGAGAAACAAACAACAGTCCTAAACCAATATAAGGAATTTAAAAAGACATTACAGAGTAAAATGTTGTTGCAGCCAAAGTCACAAGAAAAGCTGATAAATGCTGACTATGTGAATGCATAATGCTTATCAATTTCACTGCCCCACCAGTCGATCAGACTTAAGTCCAACAGATTTATGTGTTGCTTAGATGTGTTCTTCTGGCACGTGGGACAATTTTAGCCCATAGACTGTCTTCTTTCAGCTACAACCCTTGCAAGTGTTAAACAGTCTTGGGAGCAAGTATCAGAACAGAATTGAAAGCGGTCAGTAGGCTTACTTGGAAAGCTCATAAGGTTGACAAGAATGAGGCTTTAGTGCTTTGACCAGTCTCTGTTTGAGGATTACACTGCGATACAAAGGCCTTCAAAAAAAAAAAAAAGAGCTGCTTTGAAATTTGTTGCAGTAAACAGGAAAAAATACAGCAAGGAAGACTGGGCTTCCCTCCACTGAGGATCTATATATCTCATATCTGTGCTTGTCAGGAGAAGAAAAGCATTTAGACAGTCTCTAAAAACTCCAGAGCAGGTTCGGCTTGCAGCATAATGTACCTCGGTAAGAAGAAAAAACCCAGATTCAAACCTGAAATGGCCTCAACTAATCTACAACCCTGCTTTGTAGAAAAGTTCATCTAAAAATGAATGTATGCACAACTGAAAACATGCACCAACCTCTCAGATGTTGTGTTTGCAGCTTGTTCTGTTGCCTCCAAGAGCCCAAAAAGCAACTGTTATAGTTTTAACAATGTTTTTTAAGCGATACATCAAGTAAAACAATCAAACACTTGTCGATTTCAGATTCTACACGAGGACGAGTTGCAACTTCTCTCTGTCTCATGTCATTATAACCTGAATTCCCTTCAATTGTCAAACAACAAGCATAACAACAAACTGGAAAGTAACACCTTGAAGTGTGTGAGATTGAAATAGGTTTTGTTTTCTTATTTCTGACATGGTACAAACTAGATGATTGACTGATGAGAGGAACTGATATTTAAAGTAAACATCAGATCAAGCAAAAGCCATTGAGCAGCATCCAATCAGTGGACTGAAAGACCACATAAACAGCGGGGTGATCCCCAGGGATCTCCATGCATCACAGTGTGTTTACTCTGGCGGTGTTTACCTAAACACAAAGCTCACTCAGTCAAGCTACAATCTTGTGTGTTTGTATGAGTGTGTGTTGAGAGAGACGGGAGTGACAGATGAGGTTTTCCCCCCCAAAAAAACCTGAACAAAACCCACAGACTCCCTTGCAGACACTTTGTAAAGACACCAAACACATTTAGTAACATACACATAATCCTCGTGCACTGACAAGGTGAAGAAGGATGGGAAAGAGGTAAACTGAGCAAGGGAAGAAATGACGACTGTTATAAAGTGCTGGAAATAAGATAAAGCAGCACATGTGTAGTTTGTCCCTTTTCAGCTGTAGTCAGTTGAGTTAAAAAAGTCCATTAAGTTATAATCACTATCACATGTTTACCTGCCTGGCGGCTGGCAACAAGTCTATGAAAGGCACTAAAGGCTTAACAGCTCTGCAAGCATTCAGCAACATCAGCTGAAGTGCAAGAAAACAGAACGACAAAACTGTAATTAGAAATTCAGATTTGAAATGGTTCACACCTTGCCTATTGCTGAAACTCAGGAAATGGGGTGTAAATGTATTTGTTTTGGTTTTTTTTAGTTGCAATGTGGAAAAATGTGACCATGCAGGGGGGCAACTGTACTCCTCCCAGAGAAAACACAGGGTGGTGGAAAGTCATTGTATTTGCAGCTATTTCAACACAAACGCACTGCGTACCTCCAGGGATCCTTATGAAGAATTCACTGCTGGTGGTGTCCGATATCAAACAATTACTAGCAGGACCGCCCAAACTGTAAACATCTCATCTCCACATCCAGATATTTAACTTGACTCAGGATGAGTGAGATTCACTTCCTAGAACAACAATCAAACTGTGGATCAGGACTTGGTTTCCTGGCTGTCCGAGCAGCTAAGGAGAGGAGGGGTAGAAACCAAAAGAAGCTTTATTTATGTGTTTAAGCTGCACTGTCATTGTGTTTTCTTAGATGTACAACTTCAGAGCAAATTACAGGTTAAAGGTGGGTGTTTTCAACTGATTGCACACACACACAAGGCAGATCTGGAAAGTGGAAGAAAAGCAGAAAAAGTGCATATATCACTGTCATGTCCTACTTTAGTAGAGTAAAAGCAGTAGAGGGTCCAACAGCAAGAAGTGTGAGAGGAAGGAAAACATGCGCAGTGTGTCTATATGTGTGTGTGTGTGTGTGTGTGTGTGTGTGGAGTGCACTAGAGTTTTGACAGCCACAAGAAGTAATCAACCAAACAAACACATGTTGTTTTGGCAGCAGTTTTGCAGGGTGACAACAAGTATCCTGAACTTACATTTGGTGCCTTTGGAGTCCATCGCGCTGCTGATGCTGTCCATGTGTTGAGATTTAGTGCAGGGCCATGAGTGGCTGAGCGTGTGAAGGCGTGTGGAGAGCTTCTGCTGCTGACACATCCAGGCGACACACACTGGTCCGCAGGTCGGGAGCTGCCGGCAGCCTGCGTCTCCGCTGGGTCCTAAAGCCTGCCGCTTTACATGAGCGAGAAATGCTTCCTGAGGTTGATTGATACGGTGGCCGACGGGGGCAATTAGTGAGCTTTACTTTGCGGATCTAGTTATTTTTGGAAAAGGGAGGCAAACTTCCCCTTTTTTTTTTTAGCTGCAAAAAACTTATTTACCCCCCCAGACACGAAGTGGCATCAGTGGCAATAATATCACACTTGCAGCCTGTCAAAGTGAATCTATGGTGGCCCACGGGGCAAATGACTGGCATACACAAACAAGCTGTGTGTACATGGTTGCATAAATGGCCGACGGGGGCAAATGATGTGCATATACGCAAATGAGCTGCATGTGCGTGAATGCATTGCGTAAACAGAAGAAAACGTTGCATCAACAGAAACGTGCTGCAAAAGGGAAATGCTGCATATGCACATCCTGTTACACAACAGAACTGCCATAGGCCTCTAGGGGCAGTAGTGAGCTTTTCATCTGAGAGGCAGACAATGGTGACCAAGACAAGCAATGCTTGTTGAGGGGAAAGGTATGTATTCTCTCTTCTCCATAGATAAACATACATAACAGAGAGACCACAGGGAGATGGTAGTAAAACACCACTTCAGCACCCATGACTGAAAAGCTCACTACTGCCCCTAGAGGTCTGTGGCACTTCCGTTGTGTAAACGGATATGCAGCGTTTTCTTTTTGCATTTGGTTTTATTTATGCAGCGCATCTGTATATGCAGCGTTTTCCTTTTGCAGAGCCTTTCTGTTTATGCAACACATTCATGTATACGCAGCTCGTTTGAGTATCATTTGTCCCCCGTCGGCCACCGTAGATTCACTTTGACAGGCTGCCACTCCATGTCTGAGGGGTAAATACATTTTTTGCAGCTAAAAAGGGGAAGTTTGCCTCTCTTTTCCAAAAATAACTAAATCCACATAGTAAAGCTCACTGAATAAATATGTCGTCTCAAAGTAACAGATGTAATGTGACTCTAGATATATTTGGCTGCGAATCCAAAACTTTATTTTCTCCAGTTTTTGCATAAATTAAACAATTTTCCAGGAGCCCACAGGTGTTTGTCTTTATTCGTATTATAATTAGTTGCAGTAGTTTATGATTTAAACACCCTGTTAATGTCTTTACATAAGATTTCTTCTTGTGTACATGTTATATTGATGTATAAATAATTTAAAGAGAAACAGACATTGTCCTTAAGAAGAGTGTTGTGTAGCATACATTGTTTTCAAAGAAAGTAATGGATTTGGCCATCTCTGTTCTCTCTGTTCTCTCTGTGCTCATTTAGTTATCTGCGGGATGTGTTATTTGGTGCTTATGAATAGAAAAATCTTGTTTAGGGCCTCCAAAATCGTAGTATTCCCCCTGGTTTTCAGTCTTTATGCCAAGCTAAGGTAATGCCTGCAGCTACAGCCGTAACATGGTCGCCTGTCTTCATATTCAACTGTGAAGCAAAATCAAAAGCACAAAACAGACAAAAAGAAAACTGAGCCAATAAACTGAGCAGACTGGTATTGATTTGAAGTTTAATTTTAGTGACAAAATCAAAAATAACAGTATTCAAAGGAAGTAAAATCTTCAACAACCCTGGATCTTTGTGTGTTAAATACCTTGCAGAGCGTTTCTTTGTGAGTGAATATAATCTCTGTAGCTACAAAATTATTGGATTATCATTCTAAAAGAATATAAATAATAGTGGATGTATGTATGGATGACTACAACCTTCACCCTAAAACATTTAGTCATCGTTCTATTGCAATGAGTAGAAAACGTGGAACAGGAGGACGTAGCTGCAGTCTTCTTTATCTATTAAGTACTACTGGATTGCACATTCTTTTAGGTTTACCATACAGCTGCACAGTGAACTGTATCTACTGATGACCTCTGAACTATCGAACCAGCATTACATGGAAGTGATCTGCTAAATTGTATATTTGCATTCTCACTTTGGTTTTTCATTTTCACACAAATCAATGCAGGTCACGCATACAATTGAAAAAGGTTTCCTCCACCTCAGATTGTTTGTTTCTATTTCAATTAGTGTAAACTAGAGGGGACACTATTTCATGTGAAAGAGCAAAAAAAAAAGGAAAAAACAAGGGACCTGGTAAACAAAATGCATCCTGAAACCAAAGCGAAGTGATGCTGCGGGCTCCCACTCATCCCTCTCATCTAATCATTCTCACCGATAAAGTGTCATAAACGATATACTGTATCTACATTCTACTCATTCAGATTGCTGGTGCTGCACAGTCATAACTAAGAGAGCATAACAAATAAGGCAAAGCCAAAATTCTCCTCATTATGTTTTTTTTTTTTTTTTAGTACTGCAGCTCTGGTCACAGACTCTCTCATGTGGCCGTATAGGGGCACAGTCACGTCTTCCTCCGTCCTTTAGGCTTAAGAAAAAAAGCACAACCCCCCCACTGTATGACAGTCTCTATTGCTTACACTCCACTCCTGCACACAGCCACAGCTGCATCCGTGTAACAGTTTATCAGTCCTTCTGTGCATAATGTCTGTGTGGCCTTCCCTCGGTGTCCCAGAAGTCCACTCTGGTGTGACCAGAATTTGGTTTTGTCGTGTGAGGAGATCTAGAACAGGATCTCAGGCATGGCAGTGTAACTGAGTAGAAGTATCTTCCCGTCCCTCCTGCGGTCTGGCTCTACGTATGGCAGTAATCAACAGACGTCCGTGTGTGATTAAAACAGCCGGGCCTGCTTCTTTAGCTCATTCCTCTTCCACAGAGCCAGCCGGTCGAAGTCTTCCACCGTCATACCGAACACTTGGACGAACTCCTCCGGGGACAGGTGGCGCTGAGAGCACAGAGACGCAGTTATCACGTTTTACCTCATATCAAAAGAACCCAATTAAGTCTCACATTCCTTTACTGCACTATCATTTCCAGCAAGTCTTGTCCTTCGCAACATTTCTGGAAATTTAGGGGATTTATACTGTCATAAAGATGAGTGCACGTTGGGTGATTCCACATGTTTCACATGTTGAGTTTTTCCCAGCATCAGACCGTAATCAGGGTTTTTCTTGGCTCAGAATGGGTCTTTAGAGAATGACTACACGCAAACAGCAAGCATGAGTGATCCAGGTGAATTAAAAGCAATCTGTGTGACCTTATTGGACAGAGATCTGAGCATTTGGCTGTTATTTCTGACCACTTTAAAAACAATTATTTATCATTTTGGTCAGTGCTATGGCCAAAATGTTGAACTAGTCCTTTAAAACTATGATATTTCTTGACAAAATTACTGCATTTTTTTATTTACATTTACATTTGAATACATAGGCATATAGATCATTGGTGCACTCGTCTTTTTCAGCTACATTGTAGGATTTTCATCATCTTTGTCGGTTTGTTTATGCAACAGCATGTCTACACTGCATATCTTTATGTCTGTGGATGCTTTCTTGGGGGAAAACTTCCTCTGTGCAGAAAAAAAACCAAGCATAGCGTGACGAAATGAAATTTAAAGAAAGTAGAGCACATTCTATCTTAAGCTGGACTGGAGACAACCTCCTCCCAGCATCGTTTGACCTACCGTCCCATTCATAACTTACTTCCAGTCGGGCTCTGTCTACATCTTTAGGCAGCCTGTTCCGCCCTCTGGTGGTGACAATGAGAGACTCATAAGGGTGAATCTGCAGGGAAGGAGAGGCAAGCACGTTTTAAAACACTTGTGCAGTTACAGAATCACTGGAATTATTCAACATATAGACTTCCTGACATGGAATGAATTATTTACAAAAAAGGGTTTATGTTAAAAATAATAAACCTTACCGCGTATTCTGCTGGGAGAGGAGACAAAGAAAATCAAGTCAGTACAATAGAAAAAAACAGAATTAATTGCTTCAATCTAACATGGGTGAGGTGTTTTAAATTCATATTAAATTACCTCTGCTTCCCCAGTTGACCTCGCTGCCGCTGTCGTACTGGTACTGGTAGCAATCTGCACTCTGAGGCTGCAGGGGCACACGAGGACAATGAGATTAACAAGAGCGGTGGGGATTTTCTGATAAAACGGACTAACAAAAGAGACGAAAGGTGAAAAGAGGTGAGAGAGCAGAAATCAGAAATGAGCTGCACAATATGACGTCTGACGTATAACATGAAGTATGATGAAGAAGCAGCTCGTGTGAGTCATGTGATCTGAGGTCTCACCCGCTGCAGGCCGTTGCGCCGATATCCTGGTAATGAAGCTGACTTACAACCAAAATCTAAAATAGAGAAGAACAGCAGCAAAAAATTACTAAATACAAGTAAGTTTTATTTCTTTTTTAAATGCAAACTGGCAAATTAACCTTCTGAACCCTAAATCCCACCAGTGGATTTGGAACGCATGTTGACCTTGGTCAGAATCACAGAGAGAAAATGTAATAACAGAAAGAATAGTCTGATTTTTAACTTTCCGGCGGTCCTTTTGCTAATCATGTGCGACATGTGTTGCTCAAATCTAAGATGAAAATGATGATATTTCAGCAAAAAATACATGACGCATTTAAAAATTCAACTAAAATAGAGTGCTTGCTGTGAAAAAAACAAAAAAAATTCAGCGTTCTTATAGTGCATGGTTGAAAAATAATATAGAGTGGAGTTAACTATCAACAAATAGTCGGAAGATACACTTAGCGGTGAAATATTTTGTAGAATTAAGGTACAGAGTAGCTTGAAAAACACCTGGTTTCTGGCGGTTGTAAAAATGCAGATAGTAAAATGCCAACTACAGTCGTCCTCAAATGTATTCCTACCCTTCCATTAAAGAAAAGGCAAAATTCACAATAATCACTCAAATAACTAGAAACTGAAAAAAGTAGTAATAAATTAAAATTTGCTAAATTATAATATAGGGAAATAAGACCTTGCCTTTAAATTGTGGTTGAAAAGAATAACTAAAAAAAAACAAAAACAAAACAAAACTGTCCTGGACAAATTAGAGCACTTTGCTGATGAGCAGTGAAATCAAAACACCTGTCAACAGGTGCAGAAGTCTGACTGAGAGTTACAGAAAACACTTGATTGCAGTGATTGGCTCAAAGGGTTGTTCAACAGATTACTATTATTAGTTTACAGGACCCATCATGCTTGTTTTTATATATATATATATATATATTTCTGTTGAACCACAATTCAAAAGCAACATCATGATTTTCATTAAATATTTATTTATTATTACTTTTGGCAATTTCAAGTTATTTTAGTGACAACTGTTTTTTTCCTTCTTTAATGGGAGGGTATGAATACATTGGAGGACGACTGTATAGTGTGTAGAGTCATCATTTTTTGTTTCCAGTATTGGCACTTGGAAAATTATTGCACAATCTAATTCCATTTTTTTTTTTTTTAAATTTTGTAAAATAAACTATCAAAGAAATACAACTTTCATACGTTGTTTTTTTGTTTTGTTTAGTTTTTTGCAATTTATGGCAATTGAACTGTGTCTTAGTACACAGAAGTTCCCTATACTCCTAACTATGGTTGAGCTGTTTCCGTAGAGGTGCAGGAATTTATATTGAAGTGAAAAATGAGCCCACAGTGAGTAAAAATGTGACACAGACAAAAAAATAAATAAATAACTTCTTGGGGTTCAAAGTGTTAAATTCAGACATCAGTTCCTAGTCAGTGCCAGAAGATGGCGCTGATGACTAACCTGAAAATTCCAAAAATTCCAGATGTGTGCACATGATACTGGGGTTTGCTTAGTGTGGGGTCATTGAACTCAGCTCAAACACACTGTTAATGAACCAACTTTCAGCTACTTTTTAAACACACAAGAACCACAAACTAAAATGTTCTATTTGCAAGTTAAATAATATTATGAGCAGAAATCATCCAAAATAAGACTAAACTCACCGCTATCAGTGCTGTACTGAGATCGGGGAGCTGTGAAATGAACAGATCATACAATTACATGACATTTTACATATCACAAAAAAAAAAATTACAACTGCTGCTGCATTTTGGCCTGTTCTAAATTTTGAATAAATCCCCCAATATTCAAAGGAATTGCTGCACTGATTTGACAGCCATCTGTCTAGTTAGAGGCTCAACAAAGAAACTGAAAAGGAGCAAGTTGAGCACTCATCAAGCCCTGGGAGGAACACACAACATCAAAGGGGCAATAAGGCAGAAAGAGGCCAGACGAAGACTCGCTGAAGGAAAAAAAAATAAAATAAAAACACATACAACAGCACAAAAACCACGCTGCACATCTAATCGCACAACACACAGCTTGTACGGTTACAAGCCTTTGTTGCCTCTCAACCGTAGCCAGCCGAGTCCCGTTCAGTTGTGCTTCCTCCCATTTGAGAAACAGCTTTAATGAGAGATCTTACGGCTCATAAATAAAACAGGATATGGGACACCAGCTGTGAGAGCGAGAAGAGAGTGCGTTAGATACACAGATAGATGGATGGATGGATAGAGATTTAGCAGAGCCGCATATAGAGAGCGATTTCACAAGAAGGAGACGAAGAAGGAAAAAAAAAAAAAACGCTGTGATAAGCATGCAAGGTGAGGAGGGAGATTTTTTTTTGAAAGAGATCTAGAGAGAAAGATGAAGACAGGCGGGTGTCAGGATATCAGAGGCTAAAATAATACGCCCCGATACGCTGCATGAGCAGTGGAGCTCGGAGATTACAAACAGCAACAACTCCGGTAGCTTCGGGTCTGACTTTATCACATCTGATGCTGCTGCTGCTGCTGCACACTTGGTTCGACGCTGTGTTTTGTTTTGTTTTCGGCGCGATCAGACACCCTTGCAGCAATGACATGCCACATCTGGTGGTGCTGCTGGCCTACCACAGGTTCTGCAGCAGCTGTTCAACTCACTCATCATCTTTCCATCTCAATAAAGCCGACCCCCCTTCCTCCCCTCACTCCGGCAGCCCACAGCAGCCGTGACCCTCTGTGACCCGCATCCACAGCCCCACTGCCCTCGCCTCAAACCCCAATGACAGCAGATATTGAAGCTCGTAAAAAAACAGAAGAAAGCCCTTGTGGTAAACATATATGACGGCACTGAGGGATACAGTCGGAAGGCTCGGGCGTCCGTGAACTTGCACAAACAGACAAAAAAGAGGGAGATGCACAGAGGGGAGGGCAGGGTGGATCCTTACAGCCGTTGATGGTGTTGTTGTACGCCGTGGTGCCGTAGCCCGTAGTGTTCAGCGTTTCCTTGCTCCCACTACGAGAATTCCTCGCACTGCCCCAGGGGTCGTTGTCATAGGAACCAGATCTGGCTTTCATCTCCTCCTTTAGGATCATCCTCCCGATGCCACTCCCAATCTGAAGAGAGAGAGAGAGAGAGAGGAAAGGGGCAGAAGGAGGAGAGGAGGAGGGAGAAAAACGAAACCGACATCAGGGAAAACTGCTAATTTAATGTACAGCAGAAAGGACGAGAGAAGCAAATAAAGTAAAGGAGGGTAGTTTAGGCGCCATAGCATAAAGAGTGCATTATTTATGGGTGTTTTCGAGGAGGGGACTCACTTCAATCTGATGTTGAAGAAGCAGAGATAGAAAATAATGAAGCTCTTACTCTTTGAAGACTCTGACTCCAACTCTCTTCATCTCCTCCCGTCGAGAAGCGTCTTCTCGGTGCCCGATAGGCTGAGAGGGAAAAGAGATAAAAGAGATTCCCTTGTACGAATACACAGCTCCGAGTGGAACGCAGTAACAGAGTAAGCGAGAAATATGACAACGCGGTTACAAAGTGAACTGTACTCCGATGTCTGTGGGAAAAAAAATAATAAAAATGTAGCTCTAAGCAAGTGAAGTGACAGGGCTTCCTACCCTTCGGGGAGCTGGTGTAGGGGTAGTAGTCACACTCTGACTGGGTGTATGGCTCTGGAGAGTAGGTGGACAGTCTAGAGGATCTGAGGATGTCCTCGCTGGTCCTGCTTTTGGTGGCTGCTTCCATATGATTGTCTGGACAGAAAGAAGTCGAGAAATGAGAGGAAAGAAGAAGAAAAAACAGGCAAAACCACAATAACGGGTAGTGTTGTGAAAGGAATAGTTTGACATTTTGGAGAAGATGCTTTTTCAAGTTCTTTCCAAGAGCTTTAAATATACGAGGAATTATATCTAATATCTGTTGGTTCAAAATGAATCAAAAATGATGAGACCGTTAGGTTAGCTTAAAGAAGGGAAAGACAGTTCATTATAAGGTGCAACGTTGTCTACTTTATATACAGTGTTAGTAATGTGGCTTATTTCTCTATCGCTGACATCGTTATGGTGGTGTTAACTGCTTCAGACAGGAGTGTGTGTTGTTGCTGCTGAGTTCATCCATTAACTCTACAATGGAGAATGTACTCAGCTTCTAAACCACAGATACAGGATGTCTTGGTTTTCTTCCACTACGCAGTAGTTGTTTGATGGATAAAATGTCAGAAAATTATGCTAACTAGCAGTCATTGTTTCTAGAATCCCAAGCTGACAAATGTCTTGTTTTGTCCATAATTGATATTTACTGTCATGGAGGAGGGAAGAAATCAGAAAATATTTAAATCTAAGAAGCTGGAATCAAGAGAATTTCAACATTTTTTTCCCCCTGAAAAACATTACTAAAACTAATCAACTGATCACCAAAAAGTTGGCAATTAAATTAATAGCTAATAATAATAATAAAAAATAACATTATTTGTATTGATTGATAAATTTGTATAGACTATGTGAAAACTAATTTATCAAGTGCTTTGCAATAGCATAGATAAATAATTCAAACAGATTCAAACACAAATAAATATTGTCCCAAAAGTGAAAAATAAATGAAATAAGTTAAGTCAAGATTTTTTATATAGAACACTAAGACAAAGTGCTTTTCAGTAAACAAAAATAATAATAATTTTTTACTGTTAAGGATAAGATCCCATAGAGTTATTTATAGTGTAATTTCACTTAAGTAATATAAATAATAGGGATTAAAACTCTGTATAAATGATGCAAACTGCTACTTTACGTGACTATATTATATATTAAGACTCTACAATGTTACTAATGCAATAATATACAAATAACACAGAACTGAATATAACTTATATAAATCTAGCTGACAACTAATTGATTATTCAAATAATCATTACAGTTCCAGTACATGCTTTCTACAACTAATCTAAATGTAAGAACAGAGAACAGAATAGAGTTCAGGGGTCACACTGATGCAGCTGATTGCAGCCTGACAGTGACATTTCTCCAACTCGGCTCAAGTGTGTTTTGAGTGTCTTGAACTTAAATGTCTGTTGCTTAAAAGTTAGAAGTAAAGTTAATAGCAGTTATTCTGTTATTAACCTCTGACCTTGAATAAAAATCAGATAAGGACCTTTGAGGCAATAAGTTTGAGAGCAGCTGATAAAACGTCTGAAGCTAAATTGCCTTGTGGTTCCAGCTTTTCATCGGTCATCTTTCTATCTAACTTTCAAAAAAGACCATTATGTGTCGTTTCTTTCATCCATAGAAAAACCACGGTGTGAAAAAAATCTTCTGCTGGGCTATTTCCAGGCTGGGAGCAGCGACCTCCTGTACTCTTCAGCTGCCATGACAAGGCTACTGGAAGACATCGTGCCCAGTTTTTGACATAAAATGTTAATTAGTGGACTTCAGATGTGTCAGTGAATTTAGTTTCCTTTTGACAAACCCTTTGCTTCTGGTCTTCATGCTAAACTAAGTCAGCTGTCTCCGGGCTTCACACTGAAAAGACATACTTTATAAGATCGGTATTGATCCCTTCATCTGGCTCTTGGTGTGAAAGTGAATTTCCCAACATGTCAAACTATTGCTTTGAGACAAAAGGAAACATATTAATAAATACCACAAAAAAAAAAATACAGTGCGAGAGTACATTTACGCAGCAAATTCACAGTCATCATATCCACCACCTCTGTCGGGGGAGATCAATATTTCAGCCAACAGTGGGACAATAACATTAAAGTGAGTTCAGCTGCTGCTCAGCCTGAGGCACACAGTCACTCCATGAGCGGTGTGAGGTGATGATATTGATGCCACTCCGCACTGAAGCACAGTCAATGGAAGTCAATGGACGTAACATGCAGTGTAATGTCACATAGATCGCTCTTCACTCTGTTAGCCATTAGCCATGCCAGCCCCAATCCGCGACCCATTGAATTCCTATACGCACGATGCACGACGGCAACGGCGCACGCTCTCATCTCGAAGACACACACACACACACACACACTTTCACCTGAACTAAACAATGAGCCCCACGCACACAGACGAACACACTCAGAGCAAAGTTTGACAGCAGATTGAAACTTCTGTCGGAGGAACTGTGGCTGTAAAATATTGACATCGGATGACAAATACAAAAAGAGAGAGAGAGACTAACACACACACACACAAACATATGAAATATCTAACAGTGAATGAAACAGCGAGAGGAGGGAGATACTTACAGTGGCAAGGTCACCGGGTAAAGTGGAGCAGAAGGTGGAGGAGGGAAGTGAATAAAAGTGATTGGATGCAATAAAAAAGAGGCGAAAAGAAAAGGGAAACATTATTGAAGGTATCCCAGAGGGAGATGTGAGAATGTGAGAGCTTTGCTACCCATACAGAGCACACGGGTAAATCCCCCCCAAAAAAAAAAGAAAGACAACAGGGCTTTTGACACAGCCTCTTTTCCATACAGGTAGCAAACAAGATTAGTACATAACTGGCGTTCGCTGCACAAAGCAGCTTCACATGTATCTGATGTGGCTTTGGCTTTACATCAATTCTGCTTAGTGCTGAAACAAGAGAAAATCAGAATCAATAGCTATTTAGGAAGACTTTACAGCACAAGTAGGATCGATATGACCGATGGAGACGTTTGAGTCACATGTTCTAAGAAGGCGAGCTGAAAAGTTTGTAAACTTGACATTTACAATATGTGCTGAAAGACCACTTTCTTAATCATATGCAAACAGTAGGACACAATACAGCCAGTGATGTATTAATGCTACAGCTGAGAGGAATGAAAGTGTCTGCACATGGGTCGACACACTGTTCACTAGCTAACCCACACATACTGTACAGAGAAGCATGCAGGACAACAACAAAGATACGCTATTCTCAATCCAGAGATCTTGTGACTCTCAGCTGAAAAGCCTTTCCAAGTGCAATGTGACGAGGGAAGAATGAATCTTTTTCTTATGCATGTTTATACTCAAGCACGCTATCCAGATGGCTTCAGTGCATTTAAGTTTAATGACTTGTTAAAAAAAAAAAAAAAAAGGGGCAAAAATAGCATCTTGCTTTAACCATGCTGCCATGCTATTTAACTGAGCAACAACTCACATACTCCATTTGTTTTCTACAATTAGCTCAAGTGCTGTCTCCAGGTTCTGCCTAATCCTTTAAATGAACAACACAGTGCCCTTAAACCACGCACTGACCGCTGGCGAGCCGGGCCAGACTGACAAATACAAGAAGACTCCCCAAAGCAAATATAAATTCCCGCTATAATGCTGTTTTCCAATGTGCTTTGTTCCGGCCGTCTGTTCTATTCTGGTGAATTGTGTGTCCTCAGAGTCCCATGTACTCAACGCTTGTCACGCCTGAGCAACCTTCGCTTCATTCATGGCCTGTTCCAGCCCCATTTGCCATCAAGGAACCTGTCGGGAGCTGCACGCAGAAGCAGACGTATGCATACGGCATGCCCGCTGGAAACAATGCTCTTTTACGTTCATTACAATAAGCGTGGCTGATCCTATACTCCGCAATTCTACTTCCTCGCTGTCGCACAAACATCCATCCGTTCCCTCATCTGTTTTTTTTTTTTGTTGGTGAAGGCTTCAGTTTCAACAATAAAAGGAACATCAATACTAATCAATGCGTCATTATGAAGTGCTGTTGAGGGACATCGATAGGTCAGTTAAAAAAAAACATCTACACCAAAAACACAGCATGACTAAACTGACAGGAGGACAGGCAGGCTAAGGCGGGGCTAACTGCACTGTACCCGTTCTCTTATAGATGGGAGGCTTCCTGTAGATGTTGGGATCCCCTGTGGCTGAGGAGAGAAAGAGGAGATGAAGAGGTGAAACATGGAGGAGGGGATTGCGAATCGCTGGGTGGATGGGACGATTGGTAACGGGAGAAGGAGGAAGAAGAGGCATGAGGGATGATTATAAAGGAAGATAAAAAAAAAAGAAGGTAAAGATGCGGTATGGGGGTGGGGGGGAGAATATGCCATGTGTCGTATAAAAATACAACTTAGTCACATTTTTACACCTCCTCTTTCCCACGGAACTTAAAATAACCTTTCTGTATGATTTGCATTAGTGAGTAATGGCTGATGAAATCTTCTCCGTGAGATTAGGAGAAAAAAAGAAAGAAAAAGAAAAAGTGCAGAGAGGAGATGAGGACTCCTACCTGGTACATGAAAATGTTTAGGGGGCTGGTTTGTGGTGGGTGTGCTTGACCGCCCCTCTTGGCCGTAATAAGGTGAACTCCTGCCACTCTCAGAGCCTGCAGCCAGCCACAGCCAATCACAGCAAAGGAAACGTGAGCATGAAGAAAAAAAGCCTCAACACATGCAGATGAAAAGCTAAACAGCTCCTATTCAAGTGGCACCAGATAACTTTTCCACTTGTGTAATGACAAAGGTTATCGACTTAGCATTAGCAGATTTGTGCTAACGGCAGCTACAGTGTCACTGCACACGTGTAAGAGTTAAATGAAATGAAAGGCGAGGAGCGACTGCAGCAAAATGAGACAGCCAGAGAAGTATTTTGACAGACATTCTGCACCTAAGGCGGTGAATCTATAAATCTTATGACACTTACACTATATGAGGGGTTAGTTATTGTAGCTATAACAGAGGTAATGACAAACAGATGGAAATGACAAGCAATTTGATCTCTAATAAAGGAACAAGTTGACATTTTGGGAAGAAACAATTATCACAAGGCTATGATTACTACTACTGCTAAAACCTCTAACTGAAGCATTATGACTTGTTTAATCTGCACCAAAAACAAACAGTAAAAAGTACAAATCAATGTTTTACAAGAGGCTTACAGTCCACATTATGTCTTCCTGAAGTGACGATTTGTTACCGCTCAACTTTAGAAGTTCTAACACTAGACACTGAGTTTATGAGCTAGGCTTAAATGCCCCCTATCTTACCAGGGTATCCATAGTGCTGTGGAGAGCGGGGCATGATGGGCGACATGCCTTGGCGACTATACGTCGGCGAGTCAATATAACCTGGACTGGAGCATCGCCTCTGCTTTGTATCCAGGCTGTCGTAGTCCTAAAAGAAATAACAAAGGCGACTACTTGAGTGACAGAAGAGTAAAGGGGGGGCAACGAGGAGACAAAGAGCTCAGTGACAGCCAAAATAACAACAGTTCACTTGTTTGAACTTGTCCTAACGGATCTGCTACTTAGATCTGAAGCAGGAATGCTCACCTGAGAATAGGGAGAGAGTGTCCCAAGTGACTGCAGAATCAGTGGAGACAGAAAAGTTTTCATTTAGATTGGGGTAGTAAGTAAGAACTGGAGAAATTACACATTCATACATGATGTATTTACCTGATTACAAGAAATATCAGTTTTCAAAACAATGACCGGTTGACACAGAATTATATGACAGTAGATTGAAGCAATAGTTTGACATTTTTGAAAATTAGCTGATTCGCTTCCTTAGATGAGAACTTAGGTACCACGCTAATGTCTGTCCAACTCTCACAAACTCTTTATATATATTCGTCTCTCACCTGAATACCAACCACAATGTAAAAACGTGGTTTTCTTTCAACTCTAGACATATGCGGTCAGGCTGTTTACCCACGTTTCCAGTTTTAGGTTAAGTTAAGCCAATCACCTGCCGGCTCTATCTTCAAGATAAAGATGAGAATGATTTTGTTCTTCCATCTAAAGCTTAGCAAGAAAGCACAATTCTCAAAAATGCCCAACTATTACTCTAAGTGTGGTCCTTCTGTAAGCAAAAATATATCAGAAACTAGTGTGACTTGTCTGTCAGGCAGCACTTGAGGCTCATCATTTTCAGTTCTTTACCAGATTTCTATTGAAAATACCCACAATTTTAAATTAAGTTTGATTATAAAAAAATATTCTTTCAAATATGAGTTTTGCAAAAAGGACAAGGTTCGTGATTTTATTTTTTATTTTTTTAACTATGAACAAAGCCTTCTTGCAAAATTGAACGCCTGCTTCCTGTAATAGAAAGTCAAGAGAAAAAGCAGCGGCCTTGATTGAGGCCCCTTGAGAAACTAGCTCTGCAGATGAAGTTTATAGATACCATTTTAGTTCCAAATTTTCAATTTGTTCAGCCACATTGGACCAAATCAAAATAATCAAAACAAAGACCAATAAATTCCTGAACAGTTTTCTCTCTGAAAAATTGGAAACAGTGGCAAAACCAGCAAAATAATAAGCCCGACGCCGCTGCATGCCAGACGTCTAATGAAGACAAACGCTTGTGAAAACAGACCACCGATGAGAAGAATGCTACGTTTGGCCCGGAGTGTGTGGCAGAAGTACCTCCCCATAGCTGTAAGTGTCTAGCCTGTCATCAGAGATGTATCTGTGGTACGGCTGGTATGAGGAGGATATGAGGTCTGGCTGTTGGACCTCGTATATGGCCTTGACCTTTGGCAGGGCAGCTAGGTCCTTATAATCTAGGATCTCATTCTCCACTCTGGCCTGGGGAGAGGACACACATACACCCAGCACAGACAGATACAACAGCAACGAGACACAACGTCAACCACAGGGACAATGCGCAGAAACAAAGTACAATGAAGAACTCCACTAGTGATAGTGAGCGGATCATGCAGCGGTGAGAGAGGAGCTGATGAAGCACATACAAGCACAAAACGCACGCATGCAGGCTGCAGAACCTGACAGCACTGTAAGTTGTTGACCTTCAGGAGCTCAGCATATGTGAGAAAGAAAGCAGAGGGAGAGAGAGAAAGAGAGAGATAGAGGGAGGAGGAGTGGAGACAGTATGGACGACAAGCGTGCTTACGCTGCATTTCTCCCTCATCCATCACCTTAAACAGAAAGGTCATTGATTATGAGACGAGAGCAGAGTAGGGCAGGGCTGAGCGGAGAGCGGTGACTCCTGTATGCATGCAGACAACCCTTGACATGCTAATACTGCCGTCATACAGCAACACTGACTTAAGCCTGCCAAGCAGCAGACTGAAGTCCTGTGTTGAAAATGGAACTGGTCCAAGTCTGCAGTGTACTTACAGAGCACACGCCTCCAAAAATGTGGAAGTTCCCCCCTTCTATTGCTTTTCAATATTTAATCATGGGCCATTTATTTTTGNTCGCACTGCCCCAGGGGTCGTTGTCATAGGAACCAGATCTGGCTTTCATCTCCTCCTTTAGGATCATCCTCCCGATGCCACTCCCAATCTGAAGAGAGAGAGAGAGAGAGAGGAAAGGGGCAGAAGGAGGAGAGGAGGAGGGAGAAAAACGAAACCGACATCAGGGAAAACTGCTAATTTAATGTACAGCAGAAAGGACGAGAGAAGCAAATAAAGTAAAGGAGGATAGTTTAGGCGCCATAGCATAAAGAGTGCATTATTTATGGGTGTTTTCGAGGAGGGGACTCACTTCAATCTGATGTTGAAGAAGCAGAGATAGAAAATAATGAAGCTCTTACTCTTTGAAGACTCTGACTCCAACTCTCTTCATCTCCTCCCGTCGAGAAGCGTCTTCTCGGTGCCCGATAGGCTGAGAGGGAAAAGAGATAAAAGAGATTCCCTTGTACGAATACACAGCTCCGAGTGGAACGCAGTAACAGAGTAAGCGAGAAATATGACAACGCGGTTACAAAGTGAACTGTACTCCGATGTCTGTGGGAAAAAAAATAATAAAAATGTAGCTCTAAGCAAGTGAAGTGACAGGGCTTCCTACCCTTCGGGGAGCTGGTGTAGGGGTAGTAGTCACACTCTGACTGGGTGTATGGCTCTGGAGAGTAGGTGGACAGTCTGGAGGATCTGAGGATGTCCTCGCTGGTCCTGCTTTTGGTGGCTGCTTCCATATGATTGTCTGGACAGAAAGAAGTCGAGAAATGAGAGGAAAGAAGAAGAAAAAACAGGCAAAACCACAATAACGGGTAGTGTTGTGAAAGGAATAGTTTGACATTTTGGAGAAGATGCTTTTTCAAGTTCTTTCCAAGAGCTTTAAATATACGAGGAATTATATCTAATATCTGTTGGTTCAAAATGAATCAAAAATTATGAGACCGTTAGGTTAGCTTAAAGAAGGGAAAGACAGTTCATTATAAGGTGTAACACTGTCTACTTTATATACAGTGTTAGTAATGTGGCTTATTTCTCTATCGCTGACATCGTTATGATGGTGTTAACTGCTTCAGACAGGAGTATGTGTTGTTGCTGCTGAGCTCATCCATTAACTCTACAATGGAGAATGTACTCAGCTTCTAAGCCACAGATACAGGATGTCTTGGTTTTCTTCCACTACGCAGTAGTTGTTTGATGGATAAAATGTCAGAAAATTATGCTAACTAGCAGTCATTGTTTCTAGAATCCCAAGCTGACAAATGTCTTGTTTTGTCCATAATTGATATTTACTGTCATGGAGGAGGGAAGAAATCAGAAAATATTTAAATCTAAGAAGCTGGAATCAAGAGAATTTCAACATTTTTTTCCCCCTGAAAAACATTACTAAAACTAATCAACTGATCACCAAAAAGTTGGCAATTAAATTAATAGCTAATAATAATAATAAAAAATAACATTATTTGTATTGATTGATAAATTTGTATAGACTATGTGAAAACTAATTTATCAAGTGCTTTGCAATAGCATAGATAAATAATTCAAACAGATTCAAACACAAATAAATATTGTCCCAAAAGTGAAAAATAAATGAAATAAGTTAAGTCAAGATTTTTTATATAGAACACTAAGACAAAGTGCTTTTCAGTAAACAAAAATAATAATAATTTTTTACTGTTAAGGATAAGATCCCATAGAGTTATTTATAGTGTAATTTCACTTAAGTAATATAAATAATAGGGATTAAAACTCTGCATAAATGATGCAAACTGCTACTTTACGTGACTATATTATATATTAAGTCTCTACAATGCTACTAATGCAATAATATACAAATAACACAGAACTGAATATAACTTATATAAATCTAGCTGACAACTAATTGATTATTCAAATAATCATTACAGTTCCAGTACATGCTTTCTACAACTAATCTAAATGTAAGAACAGAGAACAGAATAGAGTTCAGGGGTCACACTGATGCAGCTGATTGCAGCCTGACAGTGACATTTCTCCAACTCGGCTCAAGTGTGTTTTGAGTGTCTTGAACTTAAATGTCTGTTGCTTAAAAGTTAGAAGTAAAGTTAATAGCAGTTATTCTGTTATTAACCTCTGACCTTGAATAAAAATCAGATAAGGACCTTTGAGGCAATAAGTTTGAGAGCAGCTGATAAAACGTCTGAAGCTAAATTGCCTTGTGGTTCCAGCTTTTCATCGGTCATCTTTCTATCTAACTTTCAAAAAAGACCATTATGTGTCGTTTCTTTCATCCATAGAAAAACCACGGTGTGAAAAAAATCTTCTGCTGGGCTATTTCCAGGCTGGGAGCAGCGACCTCCTGTACTCTTCAGCTGCCATGACAAGGCTACTGGAAGACATCGTGCCCAGTTTTTGACATAAAATGTTAATTAGTGGACTTCAGATGTGTCAGTGAATTTAGTTTCCTTTTGACAAACCCTTTGCTTCTGGTCTTCATGCTAAACTAAGTCAGCTGTCTCCGGGCTTCACACTGAAAAGACATACTTTATAAGATCGGTATTGATCCCTTCATCTGGCTCTTGGTGTGAAAGTGAATTTCCCAACATGTCAAACTATTGCTTTGAGACAAAAGGAAACATATTAATAAATACCACAAAAAAAAAAATACAGTGCGAGAGTACATTTACGCAGCAAATTCACAGTCATCATATCCACCACCTCTGTCGGGGGAGATCAATATTTCAGCCAACAGTGGGACAATAACATTAAAGTGAGTTCAGCTGCTGCTCAGCCTGAGGCACACAGTCACTCCATGAGCGGTGTGAGGTGATGATATTGATGCCACTCCGCACTGAAGCACAGTCAATGGAAGTCAATGGACGTAACATGCAGTGTAATGTCACATAGATCGCTCTTCACTCTGTTAGCCATTAGCCATGCCAGCCCCAATCCGCGACCCATTGAATTCCTATACGCACGATGCACGACGGCAACGGCGCACGCTCTCATCTCGAAGACACACACACACACACACACACTTTCACCTGAACTAAACAATGAGCCCCACGCACACAGACGAACACACTCAGAGCAAAGTTTGACAGCAGATTGAAACTTCTGTCGGAGGAACTGTGGCTGTAAAATATTGACATCGGATGACAAATACAAAAAGAGAGAGAGAGACTAACACACACACACACAAACATATGAAATATCTAACAGTGAATGAAACAGCGAGAGGAGGGAGATACTTACAGTGGCAAGGTCACCGGGTAAAGTGGAGCAGAAGGTGGAGGAGGGAAGTGAATAAAAGTGATTGGATGCAATAAAAAAGAGGCGAAAAGAAAAGGGAAACATTATTGAAGGTATCCCAGAGGGAGATGTGAGAATGTGAGAGCTTTGCTACCCATACAGAGCACACGGGTAAATCCCCCCCAAAAAAAAAAGAAAGACAACAGGGCTTTTGACACAGCCTCTTTTCCATACAGGTAGCAAACAAGATTAGTACATAACTGGCGTTCGCTGCACAAAGCAGCTTCACATGTATCTGATGTGGCTTTGGCTTTACATCAATTCTGCTTAGTGCTGAAACAAGAGAAAATCAGAATCAATAGCTATTTAGGAAGACTTTACAGCACAAGTAGGATCGATATGACCGATGGAGACGTTTGAGTCACATGTTCTAAGAAGGCGAGCTGAAAAGTTTGTAAACTTGACATTTACAATATGTGCTGAAAGACCACTTTCTTAATCATATGCAAACAGTAGGACACAATACAGCCAGTGATGTATTAATGCTACAGCTGAGAGGAATGAAAGTGTCTGCACATGGGTCGACACACTGTTCACTAGCTAACCCACACATACTGTACAGAGAAGCATGCAGGACAACAACAAAGATACGCTATTCTCAATCCAGAGATCTTGTGACTCTCAGCTGAAAAGCCTTTCCAAGTGCAATGTGACGAGGGAAGAATGAATCTTTTTCTTATGCATGTTTATACTCAAGCACGCTATCCAGATGGCTTCAGTGCATTTAAGTTTAATGACTTGTTAAAAAAAAAAAAAAAAAGGGGCAAAAATAGCATCTTGCTTTAACCATGCTGCCATGCTATTTAACTGAGCAACAACTCACATACTCCATTTGTTTTCTACAATTAGCTCAAGTGCTGTCTCCAGGTTCTGCCTAATCCTTTAAATGAACAACACAGTGCCCTTAAACCACGCACTGACCGCTGGCGAGCCGGGCCAGACTGACAAATACAAGAAGACTCCCCAAAGCAAATATAAATTCCCGCTATAATGCTGTTTTCCAATGTGCTTTGTTCCGGCCGTCTGTTCTATTCTGGTGAATTGTGTGTCCTCAGAGTCCCATGTACTCAACGCTTGTCACGCCTGAGCAACCTTCGCTTCATTCATGGCCTGTTCCAGCCCCATTTGCCATCAAGGAACCTGTCGGGAGCTGCACGCAGAAGCAGACGTATGCATACGGCATGCCCGCTGGAAACAATGCTCTTTTACGTTCATTACAATAAGCGTGGCTGATCCTATACTCCGCAATTCTACTTCCTCGCTGTCGCACAAACATCCATCCGTTCCCTCATCTGTTTTTTTTTTTTGTTGGTGAAGGCTTCAGTTTCAACAATAAAAGGAACATCAATACTAATCAATGCGTCATTATGAAGTGCTGTTGAGGGACATCGATAGGTCAGTTAAAAAAAAACATCTACACCAAAAACACAGCATGACTAAACTGACAGGAGGACAGGCAGGCTAAGGCGGGGCTAACTGCACTGTACCCGTTCTCTTATAGATGGGAGGCTTCCTGTAGATGTTGGGATCCCCTGTGGCTGAGGAGAGAAAGAGGAGATGAAGAGGTGAAACATGGAGGAGGGGATTGCGAATCGCTGGGTGGATGGGACGATTGGTAACGGGAGAAGGAGGAAGAAGAGGCATGAGGGATGATTATAAAGGAAGATAAAAAAAAAAGAAGGTAAAGATGCGGTATGGGGGTGGGGGGGAGAATATGCCATGTGTCGTATAAAAATACAACTTAGTCACATTTTTACACCTCCTCTTTCCCACGGAACTTAAAATAACCTTTCTGTATGATTTGCATTAGTGAGTAATGGCTGATGAAATCTTCTCCGTGAGATTAGGAGAAAAAAAGAAAGAAAAAGAAAAAGTGCAGAGAGGAGATGAGGACTCCTACCTGGTACATGAAAATGTTTAGGGGGCTGGTTTGTGGTGGGTGTGCTTGACCGCCCCTCTTGGCCGTAATAAGGTGAACTCCTGCCACTCTCAGAGCCTGCAGCCAGCCACAGCCAATCACAGCAAAGGAAACGTGAGCATGAAGAAAAAAAGCCTCAACACATGCAGATGAAAAGCTAAACAGCTCCTATTCAAGTGGCACCAGATAACTTTTCCACTTGTGTAATGACAAAGGTTATCGACTTAGCATTAGCAGATTTGTGCTAACGGCAGCTACAGTGTCACTGCACACGTGTAAGAGTTAAATGAAATGAAAGGCGAGGAGCGACTGCAGCAAAATGAGACAGCCAGAGAAGTATTTTGACAGACATTCTGCACCTAAGGCGGTGAATCTATAAATCTTATGACACTTACACTATATGAGGGGTTAGTTATTGTAGCTATAACAGAGGTAATGACAAACAGATGGAAATGACAAGCAATTTGATCTCTAATAAAGGAACAAGTTGACATTTTGGGAAGAAACAATTATCACAAGGCTATGATTACTACTACTGCTAAAACCTCTAACTGAAGCATTATGACTTGTTTAATCTGCACCAAAAACAAACAGTAAAAAGTACAAATCAATGTTTTACAAGAGGCTTACAGTCCACATTATGTCTTCCTGAAGTGACGATTTGTTACCGCTCAACTTTAGAAGTTCTAACACTAGACACTGAGTTTATGAGCTAGGCTTAAATGCCCCCTATCTTACCAGGGTATCCATAGTGCTGTGGAGAGCGGGGCATGATGGGCGACATGCCTTGGCGACTATACGTCGGCGAGTCAATATAACCTGGACTGGAGCATCGCCTCTGCTTTGTATCCAGGCTGTCGTAGTCCTAAAAGAAATAACAAAGGCGACTACTTGAGTGACAGAAGAGTAAAGGGGGGGCAACGAGGAGACAAAGAGCTCAGTGACAGCCAAAATAACAACAGTTCACTTGTTTGAACTTGTCCTAACGGATCTGCTACTTAGATCTGAAGCAGGAATGCTCACCTGAGAATAGGGAGAGAGTGTCCCAAGTGACTGCAGAATCAGTGGAGACAGAAAAGTTTTCATTTAGATTGGGGTAGTAAGTAAGAACTGGAGAAATTACACATTCATACATGATGTATTTACCTGATTACAAGAAATATCAGTTTTCAAAACAATGACCGGTTGACACAGAATTATATGACAGTAGATTGAAGCAATAGTTTGACATTTTTGAAAATTAGCTGATTCGCTTCCTTAGATGAGAACTTAGGTACCACGCTAATGTCTGTCCAACTCTCACAAACTCTTTATATATATTCGTCTCTCACCTGAATACCAACCACAATGTAAAAACGTGGTTTTCTTTCAACTCTAGACATATGCGGTCAGGCTGTTTACCCACGTTTCCAGTTTTAGGTTAAGTTAAGCCAATCACCTGCCGGCTCTATCTTCAAGATAAAGATGAGAATGATTTTGTTCTTCCATCTAAAGCTTAGCAAGAAAGCACAATTCTCAAAAATGCCCAACTATTACTCTAAGTGTGGTCCTTCTGTAAGCAAAAATATATCAGAAACTAGTGTGACTTGTCTGTCAGGCAGCACTTGAGGCTCATCATTTTCAGTTTTTTACCAGATTTCTATTGAAAATACCCACAATTTTAAATTAAGTTTGATTATAAAAAAATATTCTTTCAAATATGAGTTTTGCAAAAAGGACAAGGTTCGTGATTTTATTTTTTATTTTTTTAACTATGAACAAAGCCTTCTTGCAAAATTGAACGCCTGCTTCCTGTAATAGAAAGTCAAGAGAAAAAGCAGCGGCCTTGATTGAGGCCCCTTGAGAAACTAGCTCTGCAGATGAAGTTTATAGATACCATTTTAGTTCCAAATTTTCAATTTGTTCAGCCACATTGGACCAAATCAAAATAATCAAAACAAAGACCAATAAATTCCTGAACAGTTTTCTCTCTGAAAAATTGGAAACAGTGGCAAAACCAGCAAAATAATAAGCCCGACGCCGCTGCATGCCAGACGTCTAATGAAGACAAACGCTTGTGAAAACAGACCACCGATGAGAAGAATGCTACGTTTGGCCCGGAGTGTGTGGCAGAAGTACCTCCCCATAGCTGTAAGTGTCTAGCCTGTCATCAGAGATGTATCTGTGGTACGGCTGGTATGAGGAGGATATGAGGTCTGGCTGTTGGACCTCGTATATGGCCTTGACCTTTGGCAGGGCAGCTAGGTCCTTATAATCTAGGATCTCATTCTCCACTCTGGCCTGGGGAGAGGACACACATACACCCAGCACAGACAGATACAACAGCAACGAGACACAACGTCAACCACAGGGACAATGCGCAGAAACAAAGTACAATGAAGAACTCCACTAGTGATAGTGAGCGGATCATGCAGCGGTGAGAGAGGAGCTGATGAAGCACATACAAGCACAAAACGCACGCATGCAGGCTGCAGAACCTGACAGCACTGTAAGTTGTTGACCTTCAGGAGCTCAGCATATGTGAGAAAGAAAGCAGAGGGAGAGAGAGAAAGAGAGAGATAGAGGGAGGAGGAGTGGAGACAGTATGGACGACAAGCGTGCTTACGCTGCATTTCTCCCTCATCCATCACCTTAAACAGAAAGGTCATTGATTATGAGACGAGAGCAGAGTAGGGCAGGGCTGAGCGGAGAGCGGTGACTCCTGTATGCATGCAGACAACCCTTGACATGCTAATACTGCCGTCATACAGCAACACTGACTTAAGCCTGCCAAGCAGCAGACTGAAGTCGTGTGTTGAAAATGGAACTGGTCCAAGTCTGCAGTGTACTTACAGAGCACACGCCTCCAAAAATGTGGAAGTTCCCCCCTTCTATTGCTTTTCAATATTTAATCATGGGCCATTTATTTTTGGCTTTTTTGACAAGAATTTACAGAAAAGGCTCTTTCATGTCAAAGTGTAAATGTATTTCTACAAAGTAATTAATTTAAAAAAAAGTCAAACCTAAAATAAGTGATTGTGTCAGTATTTAGTAGATGCACTCCAGAATATTCACCGTGTTGTCTTTGGCGTACACTTTGGTTCATTGTCTTGGAAAACAATTCTTCTCTCACGTTACATCTTCTTGCAGACTGCATCAGGTTGAATTCATGCAATGTTTGTTTTTTGATCATTTGTTCATTTTACCCTCGACCTTCACAAGAACCTTCCAGAGCTTGTCGAAAGGCATCCCCGCATCATGATGCTGCCGCCACCACATGCACAGTGGGCATGATGCGTTTGGAATTATGTGTGGACTTTTGTCGTCATGCAACCATGTGTTATATAGCCAGGAGTACTGATTCACCAGTACGGGTGTTTTTATATTACAATCACTTGAGAAACATTCACTGCAACAAGATGATCTCCACCTTACTAATTGTGGGACTTTGAGCATTAATTCGTTTCACCTGTGTTGAATTAGGTGAATCACTTTAAATGTCACAAATAATCAAGCTATTACTTATATTTTATATTTTTTAATTAATTGACATTATGTTGGAGGAATCTGTTTTCAATTTTACATGAAAGAGTCTTTTTTTTGTAAAATTGCGTAAAAAAAAGCCAAATTAAATCAAGCACGATTCAGTGGGGGATGGATAAGTTCTATGGCCATTACATAAATATACTGTATGTACAGACTATATACATAAATAATACAGCTGGCCTTGATGAGAATGCCATTAACTTAAAAAAAAAATTAAATATTAATTCCAAATAATTTCCCTCAAAACAGATTATAATCAAAGTTAGTGCGAGATATAGAATCTGGGCCGCATATTTTTTTTACAAGCGGGCAACAGCTTTGCAAAGCTGAAAATCTGCAGGACAGGTCGTAGCGCCCAGTCCAAGGTAGAGGCCCAACTGACAGTCTGACATCACCAAACTACATCCACATTACTAGCATCACTGAAATGTTACATTTTCAGCACAGGGTTGTGTTTTTTTTGGTTACTTAAGACTGAAAATGAACATCACAAATGTAACACATCAACAATGTGTTAATTTCTTGACCAAGTATGAGAAAAAGACCATTACTGGTGTGTGTTGGTGTAAATTCTTCTTGTTGTTGACACTGTAACAACAATAGCAAACCTCTTGCTTCTCTTCATCAACTGCCACACCATTAATGACAACAGAGGTTGGGACAAAGACAAGTGAACAGGCCAAGGGAGTGAGCAGCCTCTCGTGTTTAACCATTCAAGGTCTACGGGTGGTGCTTGTGTTTCTGTTGTGATTTAAGGGACAGGTTCAGTGGCAGTGGCAGCCAAAAGCAACTGGAAGCTGCAGAGTCACAGGTCACTTACACATATAACTCTACTGGGAGAGCCTATGGAGGATCCCGGCGGAGAGATGGAGGCCTCTGACAGGCGTCTGTGCTGTGAGGTACAATCAGACAGATGGAAGTAAAGAGAGGGAAGGAAATACGCACAGTGAGGAAATTACACTTTCATTTCATTTGAACATTTTCATTTCAAAACTGTAGCTCACCCTGAGTCTCCTCTCCGCCCTCGCCGCCTGCTTGCATAATGGGTGCCACACCTCACATCCTGAAGAGCAAGAGAAAGAAGGAAGACATATCAGTGCTGGGTGTTTCCACATGCCGTGCATTCTACCTCCTACGTTGACAAGCGTGCTCTGAAGAATGTGTGTGGTTGCGTTCAGTTTTACCTGTCAGGTACATTTCCTCGCCCTCTTTGAACATCATGTTACAGCGGGCGCACCTTGCACAAGCTGGGTGGTAGTGTTTCCCTCCTGCCTGTGAACAGGAGAGGCGCGAGAAAAGAGGTGTGACTGAACATAAATTATCATCATAAATAGTTCCACAGATTGAGGGCTAATCTACAAATTGCACCCCCACCTTGAGCAGGTCATTGTCTCCATATGTTTTCTAGTGTGTATCACCTGACCACCAATGACCTCGCAAAGCATGAAGACATTACCGGATAGCCCGTAGCAGTTTCATCAGCATGCGGCAATCATATGCTTGCCACCACCCATTCTTCCCCACCATGCCATAATTAGAGCAAAGATCCCTGTAGGTCAGTCACATGAAGAAAAGTGTGTGTATGATACTGAGAGAAAGAGGGGTGGCCATGTAAGTGAAGGACACAAGAGTGTGAAACATGTCCTTGGACATCCAGAGCACCTCAAGGGAACACATGGGAACACATGGCGCAGGTGAAATGGACACATAAAACGATGCAGTTCACGGTCCTGATGTTTCTCACGTGTGTCTCCGTGGAGGCTGATGGCCGAGGCGTGGCCCCTTCCCGTCACCTCTGCCTTTCCTGACACACCATGAGAGAATTTTTCTATTTATAGAAGCACCGCCGAGACCTGAACTGTGTCAAGCAAACACACCCAACATTGTGAGCAAGGCGGTGGGGTATTATGTCATTTCATGCCGCACCGACTCACCCCCGCTCTTCATAAAGCCGATGCTTTCATGTGATCTGCAGGAAATCGGTAATCTTCGACGAATGAGCTCTCTCCAAGAACTGCCGGCGTGCAGCGGGGTTCTTAATTGTATCTGAGCTGCATCTTAACCAATAACCGTGCTCCCCTAGCTGCTCAGGTTACTGTGAAAGGAAAGCCAGGAGAGGATGCAGCATTTCCGTCTCCTGCTTTCCCAGCAGCAGAGTGTTTTACCGACTGTGGTCGCGTGGTATCAGTTGAGCAACTGCTGCTACCATTTCTAATGAGACTCCCCGATTCTCTCCGGTGGCACTAACAGGCTGCTAAATTTATTGCTGAACTGAGACGTGAAGTGAAACTTAAGAATAGATGGAAGATTTTATGACCCTCTGTCTGCCACTTCCTCACTTTATTTCTCCCCCTTTCTCCGTCGTCTCTAAAACCAGTCATTAAACTAACAACCTTTGGCTCTGGAAAGTTTTGGACGGAGGCGATGCTGTGCCGAACGAGCCTGATCATCAGCACAGACGGATTAGTCTGGGTTTTTGACACATGGCAGGGAAATAATTACAGCAAAGGTTTCGGGCAGATTTCAAAACATAACATTACAGCTTTAAACCGACACGTGAATGACACACCGTTACGTGTTAAAGCGCCACGACGGTGCTTGTAAGTTTTCCTTATCCTTAATGGACTGTGTTCTGTATGTCTGGGGAGTACGTCCTCTAGATTTAGGCTTCTTGAGATCAGTTGCGTGCCGCATTTTAACTAAGTGCATCATTACGGTATCAAAAACTGACAGGAGGAAAGGCTGAAGGCATGCAATCTCACGCATACACATGTTTAGAGAGCGAGTGAGACAGACATAGAGGGAAAAGAAAGATAGAGATAGAGAGAGAGAGACTTGCGAATAAAGGCTGACATGTCCCCATGTCTATAAATAGCCCAGAGAGGCTGACAGTCAGGAACAAAGCACTTTACACCAACCATTCTGACAAGCAAAGGAGCACAGGGACAACAAGGCCTCGTGTGTGTGTGTGTGTGTGTGAGTCTGACAAAATTTTTACTACGTCTGCTCCCTTTCCTCAGGTCTCCACAGACCAGCGAGACCCTCCCGAGACTCTTCCAAAACATTTAATTAGCATCTGCACTTTATCACTTTCATTATTTTCCTCCCTCCTCCCTTCATTACCTTCCCTTCACTTCTTTCCTCAGCTCCTTCTCCTCTGCTGTCCTTCCTTCACTTGCTGCCTACTTCTCCCATCTCTCTGCTCCAGTGTAAAAAGCGCAAATGTTCAATTTTATCACTGCAGAATTTGCTTTCCGTCTGCGTCTCTCCACCCGTCGTCTTTTCCCTTCAGTCTTTACCCTGTGATCTTTTTATAACTTCCCTTGCAACTCTCCACTCCTTCCAATTCAATCTTGAGAGGGGTTCAGTCGAGCTTTTAGCCTCGTGTCGGCGCAGGTAGGCCCTGCTCGAGAAGAAACGGTGAAAAAGTGGACAAGCTCCGACGCTGGACTAACGCACAGCAGCTGAATTTGTTTTGGCTTAACAAAGCGGAGGAAAAAATTGTTATCACCTCTCAATCGTAAGTCGCTCACTCCCTAAAGCGCAGGGGGGCTTAAACAGAGCTGAGGATAAACTGCAACAGCTCAGTTCTGATAACGCTGATTACACACAGTCAACTCCCAATTTGGATTTCAGAGCCGCTGACAGATCCGTGCAGATCCGGTGCACCTAAATCTCCGTTGGCATCGTCTCATGTTGAAATCTCACCTCCAGAACTCTTCCACTGATGTATCTGCTGCAGGTCTCACATTTCACCCCGTACTGGGCGTGGTAGTCCGCCTCACAGTACGGCACTCCATCCCTGCAACATGTAAAGGAAACTGCTGTAGTGTGTCAAATTTACCTTATCCGGTGAAATTGGATATGATGAAAAAGCGGAATCAATTTCATGAAAAAGCAAACAAGATGCATTTTTTGATTTGTACGTTTGCATGTTGTTTCTCTCTGTGCTTTTTTTTCCTCCCCGTTTTAAACACTCACTTGCTGATGTACTCTCCAGTGAGGACCATGTTGCAGGTCCGACATCTGAAGCAGCTGACATGCCACTGCTTCTCCAACGCCAGAAGAGACTGACCCTGCTTGATCTCGGCTCCACATCCAGCACAGTCTGGACAAGAGGAGAGTGTAATAGAGAGAAACGGGAGAGAGAAAAAAAGAAAAAGGGACAGAGACAGAAAAAGAAGAAATGTTGTTGACTTGAGAGGGACTGTAAGAGAGAGAAAAGTGAACCCAGGGTGTAACTGTCATCTTTAAACAACCACTGTGCTCCTCAGTGCAGTTCTCTTCCCCGTTGGTACAGCCACCGCCTTAATAAACAGCTGCACTAATGTGGGATGTTGTATTTCTGCACGGTCTCTCAACTGTAACCACTGTTGAATATGATTTAATGTAGGCAGGAGGCATATCGCTAAACAGCCCTGAGGCTAAAACAGTTTCATAAAATCCACCTCACAAGAGCCATGTATGATTTTCTAAGTCTTTTCCTCGTATGCAAGCCCACTCTCGCACTGTACACAAGCCCGCTCTGTTTCTCTCTGCGAGATTCTCCAGCAAGCGTTATTGACCATCACTAACTGGGCAAGAGAGAAGAAGGACAACACGGAGGCTGCAAATGATGCATGGCTGCAGAGTGTCAAAAAGCTGAAAAAAAAGGTCACTGCTCCATTTGTTTCTATTTGGGAGACGTTTGGCTTAGCTTAACCTTTTCTGACCCGGTCTACTGCCCCTGAGAGGAGCACGCAAGTCAGCAGGGACCACTCCACTCAGCCTTGTCAGCCAAGACAAACAGCGTTTTGCAGTGGAAAAACTGCAGCGTATAGAGTCGGGTTTCTGCAGTCCAAATAAATCTTAACTGTCATTCGGTGGTGATAGTGCTGAGTGTAAAAGGACCGGGGTGTGAGGCGCAGACTGCGATTTTCTACTGAGTCATTCCACAGTTCCCGTTTTAGCCACTGAATGAAATAAGGTATTAGATCATCTACAGGTGTGCAACAGAGTTTGTGACAAGAAACGGTTGGATGTGGTTACATAAAAATTCAAATGAGGAGGGAACGATGCTTGCCTCTGCACTGTCGTTGTTCTTGCCGCACTTTCATGTGTGATGTAACAGCAGGTGTTTCCATCAGCTGTCAAATCGACATATTGTGGCACAACCAGACGTGCAAAAATGTTTGGAAGTCTTAGCGTGAAGAGCCGCAGCAGACATTTTTAGGAAATACAATTCACACCCCGTATTTATTTGGACAGTTACACATTTTTTTGTTCTTCGGGCTCCGTTTGAAATAAAATTAATGGATTCTACATTAAAGCACCGAGTCTCAGTTTTAATTTAAGTGGATGAAAATCAACCTCGAAAGAACTGCGTGGGTGAAATAACCATTTTAACACACGCTGTCCAAATTGCAAAAGTTCAAAAGTACTGCAACAAAAAAATCCACCTCTATCGAAATGACGGACGGAGGAAAGTGTGGAGAAGAAAAGGAACAGTTCGTGACCCAGACATTACCACCTTATCTCTAGCGGTGCTTCTGTTATCGCATGTATAGCTGCAAATGGAACTGGCACACTGCCATTTATTGACGGTTTCACTGCTAACTGAGGCAGCTGGATGATGCAGAGATATATAAGCACACCTACATAAAACCCCGTCATTGATGTGGGTCGTAAGTGCAATTTTTGTCTTTTATATGTGTTTTTTGCTGTTCAGTAAATTTGCAGTATATAAAGTTGTTTGTCTGCTGTTTTTCACTTGACTTCTACCATATAGTCAAGAGGCACGTAGAGAATCTAGGGAGACAGTGAGGGGGAGGACAAACTCTTGTTTAGACAAAGCCTATAGGTGGCCTTCGTGACACCCAAATATAAACTTTATGATGTTGAATGTGAAGTATTCCAGGCTTCAACTGTATTTAACTGAGAACTAAGTCTAGCCATTGAAGACTGGCATTCACCACTGAAGATTCACTACATTAAGCCAGCTATTTCTCCATAATTAATAAATTCCACTTCAGTTTGCGCGATTATTTCCTCATGAGCCATAAAAAAAAGACATAAAATGTTATTTTCGGCATTAACCCCCTGAAGCCCGAAATCCACCATTGGGTTTGAAAGGTATGTTATCTTTCAACAAAACTGGCAAAACAGCCCCATTTATCAGAGCCAGAAACTGTAAACACAGAACAAATGACCAGATTTTCAGCTTTCCAACGAATCCCGAGTGACTTGTGCTTTCACTGGTAAACACTTCATCAATATAATTTAAAATCCATCAAAATGAAACCATTTGCTCTGTCCAGATTCTGTAAAAAGCAAATAATTCTATGTTCCTTGGCACATTCGTGAAGTCAGCTGAGAATAACAATAATGAGACAAAAATTCTGGACTTTTTGGATGAACTTCAGGCTGTGTTTGTGCCGAGCAGAGAGGAGACAAGTATGGAAAAATGAAAGTATTGAAATATCTAGATTAGGAGTGTTTTTTTTTTTTTTTTTTATCAGTATTGATAATACCTTGGGGAAAATCTGATTCCAGGATTTTTGCAATTTTTGTGCAATAAAGATTTTTTTTTTTTTTAAATCAACTTTTTAATTTTTGTCTGTTTTATGGTTTATTGTATTATAGTGTTGTCATACTGCACTCAAGGTATTTTTGAGTTCTCTCTACTTCTAGGCATAGTTGTGCTGTTTCCATACAGGTGCAGGACTTTATACTGCAGTGAATAATGCCCACAATAAGGAACAAAAATGCCCAGAAGTGGCTTGGGTTTAGGGAGTTGATTTCTGACATCCTTGAGACGGATCAGGACATGAACTCAAGCTAAGGCAAGAAAACTAAATTCTCAGGTTTATTTGTGCATAAATAGGCAAACTTCAACTAATAATACTTTCCAACAGGTTATTCCGATGCCTGTTTTATTAATTTTTCCCTTAATTACTTTGCACTTTGCAAATGTACGTCTGCCACTTTTTCCACACTAAGCATATATTTGCATTCTTAAATATCCTGCTCGTTTCGCAAAACGAGGCAGAGCGTTAAATTTAGTGTCTCCACTCTGTGTCCCGTCTCACAAACTGCTTCCTCATAAGACAGAGTGATGAACACGTACCTGGGGAGCTGTTTAGATTTTATTCTCCTGAATGGAGCAATCTGGGAGGGACAGTTATTCACTGCCTCTCTACCATCTGTTATTACTGCACAGCCAGTGAGCAGCAGCCTGCTGTCTGTATACTTAACAAATGATTCACTATCAGTCACCATCTCGCTGTTGGAGGATCATAATTTATCATTTTCCTGCTTTAAAAAGTAGGACTGCGCACCCCGACACGTGCGCGCAAAATATTCAGCTCATGATTTACTTATGTTAACAACTATTCACGGATGAATGTGCACTGAACACATAAAATCCTCCGTTCCCCGCATGTTTAGCAGTGACAGTAATGAATGAATGATGTGTCTGTTTGTGTTGCATAATTCTCAGCTGGCGGATCAACACGACAGGTCAGACCGGTGATTTGACAGACACTTGATTAGCTAAATGAGCTAAATGGGCTTTATGGACGCATCGCATTAGACTCAGCGCATGGTAGTGCCTGGTGGCCCTAAACAGAACGGACAGAGCAAGGCGGACGCTGGACTTACGGCTGGGCCCGTGGATCTTGATCGGTTCATTTGACTTGACAAGTGTGCGGGAGCACTGCTGGCACACGCAGTCCTTTCCACTGAACGTCACCCTGTCTCCGATTGGGAAGGGTTTACTGAGAAAAAACAGTGAGAGAGAGAGAGAGAGAGAGAGAATTAGCAACCAGAGCACAACAGGGGATAAAATGCCTGCAGTGATTTTTGTGTGTTTACATCCAAGTGTACTGTACGCATGAAAATAACAAATGGGCGCTGGCAGGAACATGATTGGGTGACAGACAGGCCATAATCCTGCTGACACAAGCTGAATACAGGCTGACATCCTCTATGAACCTGAAAATACATTTGCAAACAGTTGTGATGACGGGCTAATAGGACGTTGATTGTTGCAGGAGCACCTGGCTGCTCTGTGATTAAAGAGGCGATAATGTGATGCTGCCAAAGGCTTCTGAAAGGAAAACTGGCTCACAGTGAGAATAAAAAGTTATTAGGGGGACTGTGCCGAGTGCATACTGATCTTAACCGCCGATTTCCCTCTCTCAGTCTAGCCATCCAGTTTGTCTCCCTAAACAACGGGTGCCACCAGGTCGCTGTTTTCTTAAAGCCACACCGCGGCGAAGACGAGCGAACCCAGACACAGGGACGTGCTGACAGGCCGGGAACATGACAGCAAGACAACGCCGGCGAAATCAAATCTGCCGTATCGCGATGCACTGTTTTGACTCTCTTTCCTCTCCTTTTCGAGGAGACAGATTGATTTCTTTATGACTGGGGAGGATGCGAGAATGAATGGGGAGCTAAAAGGCTTAGGGAAGGCTGTTTAAAAGACATAGACAGCGGTAATCCTTTTACTCCCCCGTCAAGGCCTGGAGCCGGAGCCAAGACCCAGAGGGAGGCTTGAGTCTCCAGCAGAGCTCACAGTCAGCACACATGAGTGCAGTACATCCATGTAGTCACTTAGAGATGCTCAGAGGGGAGAATATATAAAGTCTTGAGCTAGGATGTATACATATATATATGCTGTTGCGGAGGTTGTGAGCTCTAGTAAGTGTGCTTCTAGGAGTGTTGTACAACTGTTTCTGTCTGACTGCGTGTGTGTGGGGAGGATCTGGCACATACAGTATTATACATTTGCTCCTGTGTGCTTTCATTGTATTCAAAGAAGAACAATGTCCATACATAAAACACAAAGGAGGGACAAGTGAGCTGAACAGATGAGCCAGCAGGGACATTTCAGCACACAAATTATTCAACAAAGGCCCTGGTAAATACTGGAAGGAACATAAGCCAATGAAAACTGATAACGCGTATTATTCATTTAGGCTTTATTCTAATTTCACCCCTCAGCTGGTCCCAAGGTTAACCATCTGTTCTTAAACTCAAACCACTTTTTTTTTTTAATTTTAATTTAACGGACAAGCTACACTGAGCTCCATGAAGCCAGAGCAGCCTGATTTTGACATTAGAAGCTTGATTTCGAGGTTCATATCTGCGTCCAGCTCCATGCAGGTTAAACTGGCTCCACATATAAGCGTCTGACCGCAGCCTTCGAAGTCCAACTTGAGTAACAAAAATGCTGTGATGGTGCAGAAAAGTGTCTTCGTCCGTGTTTGACCTTGTCTTTACCTGCATGTTGCTCTCACTCCCTCAAGACACTCTTGCCTTGTCAGCCTTTCTCAGCGTTTTAAAAATTTACAGTGTTTACATATTTAATGCATGTTTTTTTTTCTCCCTAAAAAAAAAAAATGGCCACAAAAGTAAAGCTATTTCTGGCTTTAGCGATATGCCCTCTGGCTTTGATCACTGCCTCTTTTTTAGAAACGGAAACTCGCAATCTGCCCTCATTAGAGCAAAGGCTGTGATGACAGGGAGAAAGAGGGATGATGATGTGGATGTAGAAAAAAAAAAAAAAGACAATGTGGATGATTAAGAGCACAAAGATGATGAAGCGAGAATGATGAAGAGGAGCAAGAGGAAAAGGGGGTGTGTCGAGAGAAAAAAAAAAAGACTGGAGCGCAGGATGAGAATAAAAAAGGAGGTACAAGAAAGAACTGTGAGCGATGTGACAGGGGGCAGACGGAGCACGAAAGAGGAGATTCACCCTTCGGCTTCTCGCTGTCTCTTCCAGTTGACTCCACATACACTGACAACACACACACACACACACATCGCTGTCATTGCCAGGACTGCTCCACTGACTGTCTTTGGCCAGTTGGTGTCAGTTCTTTCTTTCTTCCTTTTTTTTTTCCTTGCCCACAGCTGCTGGGCACGACTGTGTGTTTATCAGCCAATGTCAAGGCAGACACCCGACAACAGACAAACACTCTCTCCTGGAGGGAGGTAAGTAAAGATCACTCTTATGTAAAAACTCATAACACACGACAGGGGAGGAAGAGGCATGGGTAATCCCGTACAGCACGCACGTATCTGCAAGGAGAGTGAAAAATGATGAAATCAAAAGAGGAGAGGAGCCAACAGTGATGCTGAGTGTTCGTTCTGGAGGAGCTTAACGTGAACGCCGATGGAGGTCAGAGGAGAGATGGCCTACTTTTACTGAATCTAACAGTGTGAAACAGCAGGTTAGCTCTCCTGTTGGAATCGCGTCTCGGCACAGAGCAAAGCGACCGTCTATCTGCTTATCACATTTGTTGACATTAACGAGCTGAATCACAAGCAGACCGGCGATAATTAATAAACAGACCGTATTAAAATTAGCCACCTTGCTATTTCTTTTTTTAAACTTCTGCTGCTTTATTTCAGGCAGACTGCAAAGTCACGAGGCAGAAAATAATGACTCACGGCAGAGAAACAGAAAACAGTCATAGATTTCTTATTCAGCGTCCCCACAATCCGTCCCCTGTTCTCCATCCTCTCGTCTAACACGCTGCTGACAAACAGGCAATTAATGAATCCTCACAGAGCCGATACTGAGACAGATAAAGAAGTCAAGTGATGTGCATGGGACACAGACATGTACTGTACAGTCTGTGGAAATATAGGAGGCTGATTGTGTGCTACCAGTGGGAAAAAATATTAAAGTGCAATTTTAAGAAAATTCTGAAAAATAATCACTATATTATATTAACAATAGATGCATGCATGGGATCAAATGAAACCATGTTAAACTATATGTTAGGTAGCAGGTGAGCAAAGCATCTAGCAGCCAAAAAAGACATCTTGTCTTGTTATTTTAAATTGGTGGAGACCAAAACAGAGCTAAAAGGTGAGTTAATATCGAACTTAAATATTGGGGTGAAAGCTTATTGTGTTGCTTTTAAGTGGCCTATAAATGCAGATAGCTTAATGACCGTCAGAGGGTTCAAAATACTCATCACACATCCATCCATCCATTATCTATACCCCGCTTAATCCTCACTAGGGTCACCTATTCCAGCTGACTCAGGGTGAAGGACACCCTGGACAGGTCACCAGTCTATCGCAGGACTACAGACTGGACAATTTTAAATCAGCAATTAACCACAGCATGTTTTGGACTGTGGAAGGAAGCCAGAGAACCCAGAGAGAACCCACGCTGCATGCAAATAACATGCAAACTCCACGCAGAAAGATGCCAGGTGTCCTAACCAGGGATCTTCTAGCTGTGAGGCGACGTGCTAACCACCGTGCCACCTTGCAGCCCACTCATCACACATCACACAAAATTATACCAACATCCAATATTACTGCAAACAGCCAGACTCATTGACTTGTGAAAACTGATTTTTAAATAACTGCATGTTCGCCAGTATAGTAAACTGACAAATGTATTCATGTAACTGTGTCATATACCAAATGGCTGACAGATACAGTTTTTCACTGTCTGGTAAACACAATGGGGAATTTAGCAGCAAAAGAAAATAATGTCTGTCATCTTCTTCAAATTGTGCCACTACAACTGTACTTAGAAGAACGTCTGTGTTGCGTGTGCAGTCGACGGGTGGTTTTCTACCTGCAGACACTGCAGACAAAGCACTTGGGGTGGTACGTGCGTCCCAGAGCAGAGACCACCTCTCCGGTGATGAAGCTGTCACAGCGGTCACAGCGCGTCCCGTACAAACGCTGATAGTCCGCCGTACAGATGTACTCGCCCTTCTTCTGGAAGAAGCCAGATCGTGCCAGATCACAGTTACACACTGTGGAGAGAACAGGTGGAGACAAAGTGAGAGTGGGACACTTAAAATAGTGGAGCATATGGAGTAACTTGTGGATATCAGAAATGCTATTTCTGGCTTTCCACACAAACTCAAACACATACCACTCAGCACTATTTAGTCCTATTTTTCTTAGTTTTGTTCCAGTACCTACACAAGTCTGTCCTGCTTTTTTTCAGTGTGAGTGCTGAACCTGTTTGTGTGGGCATGTGTGCTTGTTTGTGCTGTGTGTATGTTTGTCTTCACACATGGCTGCCAGGGAAGTTATTCAGTTCCAGACAGTGGTGAGCCAATTTGCTCTGATGGGAATATAATGGTATAATCAGTGGAAAAGTCATTTTGCGCTAAACAATGTGAAGACAGAGACAAAACAACAAACCACAAGTTCCCAGCATCAACAAAACATCGACTGCAGACTCATTACATATCGCTCAGGAAGACACCGAAATTACTTGCCGTGTAGGTGAGCGCACAGTTTGTGTGTGTGTGTGTGTGTGTCCATATTGTGCATCCTAAGCAGACAATATATGCTAGAGGCCTTTGCTGTGGAACTGACAGGAGATTCCAGCGGGTGTAACCGTATATCTGAGAGGTGTTTTCACAGATCAGTGGCCAGCGTGGCTGCTGGTCTCTGGTTTCACCCAGTCTGTGTGGTTTACCAACAGGAAGAGTTGACAGTTATTGTAACCTCTGGCATAAAAATAAATAAGTAAATAAAAAGCTATGACCTGACAAACACAGCACTGATGAAGGTCACACATATTTAGATTTTCATCCTCTATTTGCCCATTATAGCCTTGGCCCAGAGATGACTCCCCCTGCTGTGACACTGACACTATAATTATTGCACAGCTACAATTAGCATGAAACACATCTGCAACCAGCAATTCAACCGCTCAGCTGGTAGCGAGCTATACACCAGCAGATCAGTCCTGCCCAATAAAGAATGGTTAAAAAAAAAAACGAATATTTAACATTTTAGAGACTGATGGAAATATGCATAAAGACTGAAAACAGGAGGACATCAGCAGCCTGGTTGTCTAGTAATAAGATCTTGCATATTTCAGCTCATGTTATGTGTTGTTTCCTTCAGTTGTACAAAAACCTGCATCTTGGTTGGGACCAGAAAGCAAACAGCTGAGGCCCTGGGGAGTTATTGTTCTCAGTTTTTACGCTAAGCTAAGCAAAACTGGCTGCTATCTCCAGCTACATCTATTGTAAAGATATGAGAGTGGTATCAATCCCTTCATACTTATGGCAAAATAGCAATTCAGCCTATTTCCTGAAATATTTTCTTTAGATCCACATCCTATGTTACCCCTCTTAACACCAAGCCCCATTGGCAGGATTGAAAGGCATGCTGTCTTTAAAAATCGCCAAAATGACTTTACCAGAGCCAGAAAGCGTGAAAACAAAAAGAATCAAAGGACTTCTAACATTCTATGAACATTTGTGGGGTAGCTTTTCGCTGGAAAAGTCCTCTCAGCTTGAAATATTTCAGCAAAATCATTTTATTCAACGTGTCTTGTTTAAAAATGTGCCAAAATTCAAATGTTGCTCAGCACATATGAGAAGCCGTTATTGACTCCAGCAGTTAGGTGACAATAAATCTACATTTGCAATAAAGTCACATTTGTGTCCAGTATTGGTAACAGTTGTGGGCACTCTCCATTTCTGATTTATGGCATTAAAGGTTTCCTAAGAGAGTATGGCATGTGTAGAAATCTTTACATCTTCTACTCAAGAGGTCATGGATTGAAAATACAGAAAACTGTCAATGAGCTAGAAACACACCTGGCAACACAAGACTCCTGAAACAGAAAAAATACAGGCAGCACAAAGGAAATGTTCATAAATATTTGACCAAAGTGTGTTTTAGTCCAATTCTTTTCTTAATTGGTAGTTGTGAAGTATAATTGTCCTGGAAAATACTGGTTCTCTGCTGAAGCCAACCAGCATGAAAATAAGGAAATATTACTGACAAAGGCAAACAGTCACGAGAACAATATCCCGTTCAGCTTCCAGCACACTGCTCTTAAATGAAAGTTGATTGTGCCACATTAAATAAACACTTTAAGTTTAACAAAGCATCACTTTTCTTATTACAGAATGAAGCACCTGACTACCAGTAACTTACGGCCATACTCTACTGAGACTGGAGTTGCTGCTCCAGGCTCGACTCGGCTCCCTATAGTCACCCAGTTTTCAGTATTAGCCGGCAGGCTGAGAGTTCACAGACACACAGACTCACACTCATGCACATAAACCCTTCAAAGGGGCTCATTTAATCTCAAGCTGTTTATGAGTGGAGCGTATTGACTTAATGGTGTAATAAAAGATCAATGGGCCCTCACTTAAAAACAAAACAATCTCAGCTCCCTCAGGAGGATGGAAACACATAAATCCATCCCCGATGAGATGGCAGTGTGCGTATGCAGAGAGAGGATGATGAAACGGGACAATGTGTACAGTGAGACGTGATCATGGATCTTTATCATTGTGACGGGTCATTGGCAGCAAGGGAAGGTGGCTGTAGAACTGCAGAAGAAGGAAAAAAAAAAAAAGAGGGGATGCATAAGGAGGACCAGAGCTCTATGTTTTAAAATAGCCTGTTTATAAAAATGCGTGTGTGTGCAACCACATTTCCAGAACCGCTGAACAATGGCATGGAGCTTCAAAAAGTGTCTCCACTGCATTTTGAAGCAGACTAACTAAGGCTCTTACCAGAAACCCAAATCACAGGCTATCCAATCTCCTCGTGGAAAAAGGGAATAGGAGGGTAAATATTTCCACATCTAATAAGCTCCTCCCCATTGAAAAACAAAAAATCTGTGTGTCTTGAAAATGCCATTCATTTATTAAAATCAATGCTTTAATCTTTTAAAGCTAAATTGTAGTAATTTCACAGCTCTAATTTCCTCTGCTTTTCTTTTTTCTTTCTCTTTTTTTCCTTTCACTCACATTCTGCCCCTCTCTCTCTCTAAAAATGATTTGCTTTTCAATCTCCGCCCAGATTGCGTTTCAAATGAGTGGAATCTGCTCAATTAGCCTAATGCAATGCATGCATTAGCATACGGACGCCTGACCAAATCACAGCCGGCCGAGCGGATCTGCTCGGACTGGATTGGATGGGGTGGATGGATGGTTCACCTGTTGGCTAATCACATTGTTTTCTTGTGACTGGACGATTGGCTGGATGCATTGCAAAGGACGTCCCCCTTCCTCAGTTGCCATAGGAGACGTAAGCCTTCCATGGTTGCCCCAGAGACAGCTAGGTCCCAGAGTGAATGATGTACTGGTGGTGGTGGTGGTGGTGGCATATTTGGAGGTGCTGCGGGTGAACTACCAAATCTTATCTGTGATTATAACCTAAAATCAGACTGAAACATTATGTTCTCTCTTCAATGTGACACAAACTAATAGGCCATTAATGTCGAAGGCATTGTGTTCTTACCTCACCCAAGACAATGTGGGTTTAAACCGAGCAAAAAAGCTGATTAAAGGCACCATCTGCAAATAATAGGTCCATGCAAACGTGCATTCACGTGCACTGTAAGTGTGTGAAGTACATAAGTGGTAGAAGTACTTGTGTGCCATCCCGAAGCACAGTATTGAGGGAGTTGTGCTCGAGTCTTCTCAGTTAATTATTTTCCAGCTTGTTGCCTAGATTTTACATAACGTATAAAATAGGATATACTGTTAGAGATTAAAGGCCCAGAATGATCACATAAGTGTTGTGCACACAGTTTATTGTGCAGAAAAGTAAATCGTTATGTTCTGAGCTCCATAATTTGACACTGAAGGGGGCCACTCTGCATAATAAGCATGCTTGTTTTTGATACTGTGGGTACATTTTGATAGCATTGTATTTAATGTACTTTTATTCAAGTAAAAAGGCAAATTGCAAATGTTCTATCTGCTATGTTTGCAGACATAATTGCGGTAAACAGCTCCTGACAATATTAAGTGAGATTTAGTAGCTGCTTTCCTGCACCTGTCTATTCTTACGTATGGTTTACGGATTACATATAATGCGATCATTCCAAATGTAGACGATGGATCTGATCAAATGATAAATTTAACCCCAAATGCCTGAAATAAAGTAAATAATTGATATTTGCACTTGTTGGAGGACATCTTGAGCTAACCGTAACTAAAAACGTATTAAAAAGCAAGCTTTTAACTGCCTACTTGTAAGCCGGCCTTCGACTTTTCATGTCACTCAGTTCAGTCGTAACCATCAAGCAGAGGTTTTAAACTTCCTCCATATGTTAGATGCCAACACAGTGGGTGGAGTTGGGAATGAGTTTGGTGCCTCTGCTTGCTGCAGAGTTGTGGCTTCACTTGGCTCGGAGAAGAAAGGTTTTGGTCACAGCCGCACAACCAGCACCACATGGTGCGGACACCCACCCATAAAAACAACAGCCTGATACAACCAGGCTGGAACCAGTATGGTCTGTTTAACTGTCCCATGAAAGGCCCTTGGGGATACTGTAGCTACTCGTGGGAAAGTGTGTAGAGTTGCTGCTAAATATTATGCTGGGTTCCTAAGTTAATGAAAAGTTTTGTTTGAATCAGAATTATGTATTATTGTAAAGCAAACATAATCAGTATGCGGGACTAAACTACATTAAAGGCTTCATTTAATCTATTTGCTCCTTTTATGATCTTTCCCTGAATGGCATTCTAATGAGGGAAACTAAAGGATCCTGTTTCTCTTCTTCATATTGCTCTTTTTTTTTTTTTGGCAGTGCAGGAAGTTAGCATCTACAGATCATAAGTCTAGTGATTAGAGGTTAACATGTAGGCTGATGTCTGCAGCTGTGGTCATTAGAACTGCACTGATTAGGCATCCACAGGGGGTCTGCCTGATTGGGTATTTATCTCCAGCCAACAGACGCAATTAAAATTCCCTTCTCAAAGTCGGCCCGGGCCGGAACCCCAAAATAGTCCCGACACCCTCCCTCCCTCCCTCCTCCCCT